GTTCACAGCTCAGTTAAGTGGCTAAATGGTTCAAAAATGGCATGAACGACACGTCTTCCCGAAATTGTAAACGGGACCTAAACAAAACACCAAAAGAGATGTGAAAATACAGAAAAATACAAAACACACAACGAGAACAAAAATACATAAAACACGACAAAATGAACCGGTTGACACTACAACGAACATAAAACGACTTGAATAAATCACATAAAATCAAGGTTGTCAAAACCGGACCGTTCATCGAACCGGTTGAGCTACTGGTTGAATGGTTCAATGGTCCGACCAGTGGTTGAACCGGTTGGACCGTTATTTAATTTATTAATATTAATAAATACTAGTGGGCTTACGACTGTGCACGCACAGCCGACCCAAATTTAGTCGATTTAAAATATTTTTTTCGTTGCTTAAAAAAATTGAAGTTCAAAATGTATTAAATCTCATCCATACATTTTCTCATCTCATAAGACCACGAACACATACATGTAGTCGCATCTTCAAAAGTGTATCGAAAGTACATAATATTAATCCAGGCAACAAATGACAAAATATCCTCGATATGCAATGTAAAAAGGTGTTTGGATCACATTAAATCCTAAAGCTGCATTCAAAAGCGCTCAAAACCAAGAGGTAACTATCCACCTATATAGTAACATTTCATTAAATTAGAACTCTGAAAGCAACTCCTTCATGCGGTATGAGCATAAAGACCTATATAGTAACATTTCATTAAATTAGAACTCTGAAAGCAACTCCTTCATGCGGTATGAGCATAAAGACCGGCCCTTCAACAATGTTGTTTTCAACAGAAAGTCTAGGCACCTCACCTTGCATGATTTATTTCCTTCAACATGAACTATATCCATTTCATAATCAACACCACCCATTCTTAGCAAGACTAAAGTGGCCTCGTCGTTTACCGCCTCAATGTGTGTTCTCCAAAATGGCATGAGAATTAGTTAAAATTGCAAATAAATTGCAACAAAATTAGCGACTAATAATGAAGTTAAAATTTGGTTAAATTTCTGAAAATCATTGCACAAGAAAAGCACTAAAGGCTTCACAAATTCACAAAAAAGTCCACAAAAAAAAAATTTATCTTTTTTTTTTTTT